TCTGCTTCAATTTCCCGACGTAATGTGTCATTTGGCCTTCCTCTTTTCCGCTTCCCTTCAGGATTCAAAGTTAGGGCTGGCCTCGTGATGCAGTTTGATGATTTGCGTAATGTATGTCCTATCCATTTCCATCGTTTCTTCCTAACTCCTTCAGCTGGAAGCTCGTTTGTTCTGTTACTGATGGTATCCGGCCAATGGATGTTGAGTATCTTGCGTAGACAACTATTTATAAATACTTGCACGTTCTTGATGATGGTTGTAGTAGTTCTATATGTTTCTGCTCCATACGGTAGAACTGTCTTGATGTTCGTATTGAAGATTCTGTCGAAGTTTCCATAACGTTCTCCTATCTACACTGTCAAACGCCTTTTCATAATTAATGAAGTTGATGTACAGTGAAGAGTTCCACTCAACTGATTGTTCGACGATGATCCGTAGTGTCGCAATTCGTTCTGTGCATGACCGATCCATACGAAATCCAGCCTTTTTATCTCGAAGCTGATTCACATTTCCTTCTCTTACAGCTTTCTCCGCCGTCTTTGCTAGTTCTTTCACGTATTTCTGCTTGTCGGCTCTAATGCTCTTCTTCACTTGCTTATTTGCTTCTATGTACTCAGCTAGTGCTTGGACTTTCTCTGCTCGTATTCGGCTGTTGTTAATTGCTGTCTTCCTATTCTTCCTTTCTTTGATCTTGTTCAGTGTTTCTATAGAGATCCATTCCCTATGATAATGCTTCTTGAGGTCCAGATCCTCTTGACACGTTGAAGTTAATGCTTCTTTGATATCTTTCCAGTTGTCCTCCATACTAGTTTCTTCTTCCTTCAGTAGATCCTGTAAGGCTTGCAGCCTGCTGTTGAGAGCTATCTTAAATTCGTTGAATTTGTTAATATCTCGTAAGAAGGCTATATTGAACCTTTGTAGTACTGTTTGTCCAGTTCTTCTTTAGCTTCAGTTTTAAATTGGCCACAACTAGGTTGTGATCTTAAGCTATATCAGCACCTCTCGTTGTTCTCACATCTTCCATTGTCCTTCGGAATATTTTGTTGATGCAAATATGATCTATTTGGTTCTCTGTAGTGTGGTCCGGTGAGATTCATGTAGCCTTGTGTATACGTTTGTGCGGAAATATTGTGCCTCCTATGACCAATCTGTTGAATGCACACAGATTTGCAAATCTTTCCCCATTTTCGTTTCTCTCTCCCAGTCCATGTCGTCCCATAATATCTTCATATCCGGTGTTTTCTATTCCAACTTTGGCGTTTAGATCTCCCATGAGAATGATGAGGTCGTTTTTCGGGCATTTCTCTATGATTGACTGCAGCCTATCGTAGAATTGACCTTAAATGTCGTCGTTGCTACCATTAGTGGGTGCATAACATTGGATAATATTCATTGTTATCCCCTCCTTTGTTTTGAATGATGTTTTGATGATTGTGGATCCGTGAGATTCGTATCCTACAAGTGCATTTCGTTCTACTTTGGACAGCATTATTATACTGTTCGTGATTTTATTACTATCAAATTGATCATATTTTTTATATGTAGGCATAATTGAACAGTCGACATATCTATTGTGGAAACATTTAAGCAGTCTCATAAACAATCCTAATGCTGTAATCGGTGAAGACAATAAAGAAGCTCCGTTACATCAATCCTTACAATCCTCACATTGTATTCGTAATCTTTCTACCACTAATTGCATTACTTCTCCAATGAAATCTTCTTTAAAACCATTGTCGACTTTAACCACTCTCAGTACTCCAACTAAACGTAATGCATTAATGAATACAGCATTTGGTCGGGAAAATAACAATATACTTCAAAAGATTATGTCTTGGTTACGTAATCATTGTGAACATTTGGTACAAGACGAAATAATGGAAATGCTTAACCAATTAACTAAGGTAATTATTCTACATCAATTTCTTTTTCTTAAATTCAATTCTCTAGTTAATCATAAATTAATAAAGAAAAGTAATGGGATTGTTGATTGTACAACCTTTGTATTAACATTTATAATTGTTTCTATGCTATTCACTACTATTATTATCTTCAGTCGGTCAGTCAGCTACGACGTAGGACCAGGCACATATGTGCATCGGTCCAGGTTGCCATACCGCATCAGCACAACAAGATGAACACCAGATTCATAACAGTGGTTAGGTAAAAGGTGGTAATATATAAGAGAAAGATTGCATATAGAGATATAGTACAAGAAGAAAGAATTGGTTCGTAGAAAGAAAGGTATGAAGCGATTTTAATCTCTTAGTTTAAGGGAAGACAGGGAGTGTATGCACCGACGCCATTGTGATCGATTCTGAACCATGTCACCAAGAGTCTCCAACCATTGGTTACGATAGTCACGCGGACCCCAACCAAGTAGTCTGCATCTACCAACATGGCTCAGACTAGAAGTTAGTGACTTCAAGCACTGATGCCACGTTTTGGTTTGGCCGCCCCTAATTCTCTTCCAGCCATCCCCTACACCGGATAGCATTGCACGACGTGGTAATCGGTGTTCAGGCATACGTAACACGTGGCCCAACCATCTCAGTCGATGAAGATTCATAACCTCATCAACTGATTTACCATCATTTCCTAATACCCTGCGTCTAACCTCACTATTACTTACCCGGTGATCCCAACAGACGCCAGCAATATTTCTAAGGCATCTGTGGTCAAATACTAGTAGCTTACGAGTGTCTTCTACTCTTAATGGCCATGTTTCGCTGCCGTAAATTAAAACAGAACGGACTGCCGCGCAGTATACTCGTCCTTTTATTGATAGACGGATATCTCGCCTTCGCCACAGGTGACGTAAGTTGGCAAAAGCCAAACGAGTATATAACATAAATTACTCTTCAACTAAACTTGTATCAAACCCACAACTATTAGAAAGACGAAAAAATGTGTTCCCCTTTCAATCGACAACAATATTTATAGAATATCTTGAGGATTAGCTACTTCATAATTCCAATTTCATAGTGTATCGTCAATGGTACGCGCGCAAAGTATTATTAAAATCCATTTTTCGTTTGGTCCGGACAGAATGAGAAACAATTGTTTTCTTAATATATGATTCATAAATGGAAATATTATTTTATCCAGTATTCGATAGTAATAATCATCATAAATGAGAGATTGTTAATATTGTAGAAAATATATATACACTTCAATTTCTTTGAATTTTCTGTAAGAAGTTATTTAATTCTATCACCTGATTAACAAAGTTCCTTAATATCGTTCATGGAAGCAAAAAATATTATATTTTATGAGTAATTCGTTTAGTTTATATTTGAATAGATAATATCAGTGTTCATAACACTGATAATCCATAAAATCTTATCTTTAGTACAATAAACACTGTTTAAGTAACAATAATGTAACTCATTTACCATGTGTATATATGTCTACTTGACTTTGTATAGATAACTCATGATGATCATTATAATAACCGCTGAAGCCTAGGGTAAATACCACTAAGCCAGGGTACATGCGATCCACCGCAAAGCTAGGTGCATGCTTCATTATATATTTTTGGGTCATGGTAATGATCCTTCAGCAGGTTCACCTACGGAAACCTTATTAAGATTTTTACTTCCTCTAACTAGTTAAATTAGATCATCTTCTCAGCATCAGTCGAGCGGCAAAGCCATTACAACGACACCAATCCAACAACTTCACTAAACCATTCAATCGGTAGTAGCGATGGGTGGTGTGAAATCATGATTAGTGATCTGCCTAAATTGAATTAAATTAAATGCTCAGTTCTTAAACTTCCAGTTGAACAATTGAATGTTAAACATTTTAACAATTAAATGCAATATATTTTGCTTTCTATTTTATTCAACATTTTAGGCTGCTTATTTAAAACAAAATCAACGGTTATTTATACAAGTAATGCATAATCGTTTAGAAAGAATCATACAAAAGCAATTGAACAATAATCCGACAACATGAAATAATAATCATATTAAATTATGACTATTTACTGTTAAACATATGTTAACTGTAAATTATTTATGTATATTTTTTACTATTCGTCTTTGTGTATGCTAACCAGTGGGTGTTAGTGTTTGGGCTTTTTTTTATTTTTGTACTCTTCAAAAAATGAAGCGAAATAAAAGTTTTACACCGATTTACTGTATCAGTCAATCAGCTGAAACGTAGGATCAGGCACATATGTGATTTACTGTATGTCGAACCATTAAATATATGTGTAGTGAATGACGACTTTGAATGAATCAACAATGCAAGTTATTCATGTATTGTATTAAGTTTTCTTCGTGCTCATGTCAAATAACCTTGGCTGCTACTTTGACAAGGTAATCAGGTTGGTTTACAGTGATGTCCTAATCAAGCTGTATTGTTCCTTTAAGTACTAACATCCTAGGCAAGTCTACTGGAGATTAATATCAGCAAATTTATGGTCTGAGAGTCAGGTTCTACTGCCGACTGTACTAGGGGTGTAACAGCAATAAAATGTTTTTTTCTCAGACAACTAGCGCTTACAGCAATGCGGCATCAAAATGAAGATGGTTAGCAAATGTCTGCACAAAAGTCAGTCAGCAACAACGTAGAACTTCGTACGTACATAGATCGGTTCGAGTTGTCATACCACATTAGCACAGAGATACAATTGTCAGTTTAAATCTCGTAGTGATAGAGGTAGTAAGAGTATAAGCAGTAATCGGAATGATTAGGATTGGAAGGTGTTATTCAAGGAGTATAATTCAGTGAAATGAATTTGGAAAGAGACGAAAAGGAACGTGGAGAATTCAGAAGATTAGGATTTGGGAGAACACAAAGAGTGTATGCATCTGCGCCATTGCAAACGATTTTGAGCCATGTCATTCAAGGTCTCTAACCATCGGTTGTTATCATCTAGCTGATCCCAGTTTGAACGAATATTAATACACATTATCTTGTCTTACAGATTATGAATAGTTGTCCTTATTTTCGACAATTCACTCAATAAGATTTAAGTAAAAGTCAATTACTGAAAGACTTTTATGTATGTACTTTTATATTACATGAGTCAAAATATACAATTTTTCTATAGTGGTAAATACATTCACAATGCATTTAGATTATGAAAGATGAAACATTCATTAAATGTTTGATTTCATCTTTAAAAATGTACATTAATTACCATTTTTGTTTTAATTTACATATTGGGAATCAACCGTTATTTTTTTTTTGTATCTCCATCTATTTTTCCAACTTTATTTATACTCCATTTTTCAATTTCGGTTGAATTTTTGTAAAACCACAAGTACTACTGAAATATTTATTACCAACTTCCATTGGTTTTTCTGCAGCTTGTGGATTGACAATTTCAAGACCCTATAAAGACAAAATACCAATTAAGAAATTATTATTAAGTAAAATGAATAAAAATTCAAAACCCATGCCCCCTCCCCCTAAAAAAAGAAGAATTGATATATCAGTAGATAAATCAGCACAGAACAATAACAAGAGTAAATTTAGATTTCCTCTATCCAACAGAATATGATTTCTAGTCTATTTCAAAATAACCATTTTAGATCAATGTCATACTTAAACTATGTAAAACAATGAATGTAATGAAATAATATTGATGATGTAATATTTGTATGTTAGTAGAATATAGTAGATTGAATTAAAGCATATTCCATATAGGATTATATTGGGGCACGCTGATTAGCTATTTCTTCTTAACCAATAAGCGCCAGTGGATAGTTGGAGAAGACTCTAGAATCTTCTCATATGAGAACTATATATAAACTGCCCCCAAATGCCCTAGTATGGCCGAGAGTAGGGTGGGTTGTACCAATATTTGTGTTTAAATAAATATAAATAAACTAGTGTTTTTTATTATTGTGCTTCCCGACTTCCATCTACCCTTGTTATTTAGAATGTAATTTCGTTCCTGCTCAACAGTGTTCCGATTTGGTTATTGCGTTGAGTGAATTGGTGTTCAAGATTATTAAGCGATAAAAGTAGCTGAGTCGTAATAAGAGAAATTATAACGTTGTGATTACTTAAAAACATCATAGCAATAAAAAGATACAAAAAAAAGCTGCATGTTTGCAATAGAAGGTCCATAAAACCTACAATTTATTAATTCTTATCATTTCTCAATGAAACTTACCATTTGAGATAGATACATCTTAGCTTATTTTCCTATTACAACATACTGAGGCTATTGAAAGTTGGACATGTTCAGTCGGTTACTTCAAAAGCTTTCTTAAACTAGACGCGATGTTCTGTATGCTTACATATCGCCTGGATTCTATGCTAGCTAACATGAAAGTAAATTGTGAAACGATTACAGATAACCAAACAAACTAGTCAATAAATTCAAAGATGGTTAAATCTATCTGTGATGAGAGTTACAAACGTTTTGGTATCAGTGATCAGCTGGCAGAGGGTTAAATTGACATAATAGGCAGATTAGGTTGGAAATTTTTTTATGATTAAACTTTTTAAATTCGTTCTGTGAAACAGCATTAATCTGTGTATCTGTCTTACTCCTTGATTTGTATGAAATCCATTAATCATGATGAACACAGTATTACTAGTGACTTATAATGCTCTTCAAAATATAATAAACATTTTACTAGAATGGATAATTACACAGTTAACTATAATCTACATTTAATGAAGTAAAATGAAAGCGTAGAATACAAATTAGATAAATATTTTACCTGTAGTGGAGTGAATGCAATCGATGATGAAGTACCAGCGACATGTTTACGTACAGTAGAATTCCCACCCCAACTTGCAGCACCCAATGCAGTAGTAGGCATAGTGGACATACCACCAAATTTGGATAATTTCTGTTGTAATGCTTTGCTTACACGAGCTTTTGTTTTTGAATCAGCCTGAGGAGCACGTAAACGTCCTGCTATACCACGTTGACCAAGTGATCCTAATGAAAAGCCTAAATCACTTTGATAAGCATCATCAGTGATTTCACCAAATTGTATTCGATTTGCTGATCGTCTTAGTTCACTCATACCTAAACGCTCCTTCATTTTTCGATAACGTCGACCACCTCGTTTTCTAGATAAAGCAAAATGAATAATAATGTTTACATGTAAAGTTTCGATTGATGAAAACCAACTGAAGACAAGTTACCAAAATAAGTCATTGAGAAATAAAAGCATTTAATGTATAATACAGGCTCTAAGCTTTAGGTGATACTATCCAATTTGTCGAACCAAAGTATGCAGAACGGAAATTAAGCCAATCAAATTATTAAGACATGCGCATTTTATAAGTATTAACTAAGTAACTCTTCCCAAACCACAGCTCTACTGTAACTTTAAAGCCAAGTACAAGTTAGTACTAAAAAGCTAAGCAAATCGAAAAAGATGAAGTGTGGTGTGAGAATTTGTAAATTAATATTTGAAAATCGATCGATGTAATTAGTTAGTCAGTCATAACGTAAAACATGTGCATCGGTTGAAGTTCCTATACCCCATTAACACACACAGATGAAGTTGTCGGGCCAAATCTTAGAATAGTAGACGTGATGATAGAAAAGATTAGGCATTGAAGATACTACTCGAAAAGAAAATATAAATTAGTGAAAGAAATAAGGTGATGAGGAATTCAGAAGTTCAGTATTTCGGGAAGACAAAGAATGGATGCACTCGCGTAATTCCAAACTATTTTAAGCCATATCATTTAAAGTCTCTAACTATTGGTTACGATAATCACTCGCACAACAACCAGGTGGTCTATGTCTATCAGTCCAACTGTCAGTAACTTCATAGACTGATAGTGTTTCGGCTCGGCCTACTTCTGCACCAGAAAACATCGCCTATCGAGGCAGAGACTGTTAGACTGAGTCGTGTTGTTCAGTGCAAACCACTTGGTTAGGATCAGGACGATTATCGTTCAAAATCCGTTGCAATAACGTAAATGTATTTGCTTTTTTTCTTTAGTTTTAAAATCATTTTATACCTTTTATTATGAGAATTCATTCACTCTCCTCGAATTATATTCACTATGCCTAGTGTTGTTTTTTTACTATCACTGACACTACTTTTCGTACTCTGGTATTTATCCAGATAATTTCATATAGGTGCGTTGTGGAAACTGACAGCAATGAATCTGTACGTTAGGTTTTACACTGTTTATGATCGACTGACATTTCTAGTGACAAATTGATGTTGCAACAGGAGGGGTGAGACTAATAGAATGAACTCAACTATTAAGTTGCTTTAATATCCATAAAAACCCTTATCTGATTATAATCATCATATGCTCACTAGTGACGGTCTCCAACAGGTATTTCCTGGAGTTCTAGTGAGAAGCAGCGACTAGTGGAGTTCAACCGGGTTTGTTGTGAGATAGTAACTCACTGATGACAATGGTGGATGTGTCGATCAATTTCGTGGATTGGTTGGAGTTAGACATTAACACTGTTGGATGCCAACCTGCTCATTGGTCGAGTTGTTAAGCGCTCGCGCGCAAGACTGATAGGCCCCAGGTTCGAAGCTCGCGGGGCGGGATCGTGGATATGCACTGCTGAGGAGTCCCACAGTAGGATGAAATGGCCTTCCAGTGCTTCATGGTTTTCCATGATGGTCTAGCTTCATTTGACTCATGATTTCAACCATTGAAATTAATAATTATGAATTTAAAATGAAAAAACAGAACGAAAACTTACTTAGCAGGTGGATCGATTGGAGCTGGTAAAGCTTTAATTGTTTTTACTGGAGGTGGTTCTTGCCATTTATCAAATTTTCGTTCAATTTCTAATAAAAGCTTTTCACCAACATGTCCATCCTTTAATATTAAGATAAATAAAACAAAAATTAAAATGAATAAAGATACCAAAAAAAATGGGAAAAAAGAAAAGTGATTTGAAGTATATATATAAACTCAATAGAACAATAAATAAATCAGCATAAATGGATGGTGGCTAATAGTAGAAATTTAGGCTATGCGTTTCGTTCTATTTCAGATTCGTCAAAACAAACAATACAAAAATAAATTAATTTAATTTTATGGAAAAAAGATAACATAAAATCACTGAAAATATTGCTCTTATGTGATAAGACAATTAAGTGAGATCTTGAGATTTCATCAGTTCATTGTAACGTTGTTGCTATAACGCTCAGTTTTACTTCGTGTAATGTTACAACGGTTTGGTTTCCACGTTTATATGTATGGGACGTTAATTTACCTTAGACGAATATCTACACTAGATTCTCTTCTAGTATCTATTCTACAGGACTTCAATACAGCTCAGATGATCATGAACACGTGATTAGCCTGACCACAACGTAAATATATTTCTACACCAAAACCTGACACAATTCAACAACAATGAACAATCAATGATAAGTGAGTAATAATAATAATAATAAGGATAAGGGAATATATAAATTATCTGACACCTGTCAGACTAATCAGACAACCAATCATTATCATTCTCGCCCACAAATAAGTTATGATTTGGATCTTACTTTTACTGACGCCCGTTACTCCCAATAGAGTATAGGCTGCCGAACAGCATTCTCCAACCCACTCCGTCCTGGGCCTTCCTTTCTAGTTCTATCCAATTGTTGTTCATTATTCTCATATCTGTCTCCATTACTCGACGTATTGTGTTCAATGGTCATCCTCTTCTTTAGCCTTGAGCATTCCAATTCGGGGTTTGCCTTGTGATGCAGTTGGGTGTTTTCCTCAATGTGTGTTCTATCCACTTCCAGTGATTATATCTGATTTCTTCCTCCACTGGAATCTGGTTTGTTCTCTCCCACAGTAGGTTGTTACTGATAGTATCTGGCTAAAGGATCTGAAGTACTTTACGTAGACAACTGTTAATAAACACTTGTATCTTCTGGATGGTGGCTTTCGTAGTTCTCCAAGTTTCCGCCTCATACAGTAGAACTGTCTTGACATTTGTATTGAAAATTCTGACTTTGGTGTTGCTTGACAGTTGTTTTGAGTTCCAGATGTTCTTCAGTTGTAGATATGCTGCTTTTGCTTTGCCGATTCGCGCCTTCACATCTGCATCAGATCCACCGTGTTCATCAATGATGCTGCCTAAATATGTAAAGGTTTTTAGATTTTCCAAAGCCTTTATACTTTGAGCTCCTTTATAATGCCTAAATATCACTGTTAAATAATTCTGCATAGTTTACATGTACATTTAGTCAATAATTCGACAGAAATAGCATTAAAGGACAATAATTTGAAGACTACAATCAATTATTCTTAAATAACGTAGAATATATGAATCAATTCAAGTTGTCACATCATATCAGTAAAATGAGGATGAAGTTATCAAACCAAAGGTTATAGTTGAAGAAATAAAAGTATCCATGGAAGTAGAAAAGACTAGGGATAAACAATATGATTTGAGAAGAATGAATAAATTCATAAAATAAAAGTTATGAATTAATAAGACAGAGTTAATACATATCTATCCTATTGGTTTCACAATAAAAAGGGTGCACATTAATAAGAGTGACGATCAAAAATGTAAAAATTATTAAAAATGAGCATTTAAAGGGGGAATAACGCATTTGATGGTGTGAAATATGTTCCATTCACCTTCTACCCCTTTTATCTTACGAAAAAGAAAAAGGTAGTTTTCTAAACGTTCAATAAATAGTCCATTTTCAACAAATACTGTAATGTTTTTGAATCTAATAACAAATAGTTATTCTTATTAGCCTCGTACATTTACTTAGAACAGTCATGCGATAGTTTATTTAGAAAGATATTTTCGAAATCCCTGACATGGATCAAAATCGTTTGCAATGGCTCAGATGCATCCACTCTTTGTGTTCTCCCAAATTCTAATCTTCTGATTCCTCCTTGTCTCTTTTTTTCTCTTCCCAAATTTATTTCACTGGATTATACTCCTTGAACAACATCTCTAAACCCTAATTTTCACGACTACTGCTTACACTCTTACTACCTCTACCACTACGGGATTTGAATCGACAACTGCATCTCTGTGCTAATGTGGTATGGTAACTCGAACTGATGTACGTACGAAGGTCTACATTGTTACTGACTGACTGAAAAAGGTTTGGTGAATCTTACTTTGAATAAGTTTTAAACGTTAAAAACATGTCTTTCTTTCAAGGTTAAAAAGTCATACTTGGCATTCTTTATTATATGTATTCCCGAGAACACAGTCTTTTGTACCCTTCATAGGCGAAACTAAATGAACTTTTATTCTGTCGATTGTTGACGTCTGTGATAATAAGGATCGAATTACTAGGCTTTATTTAACATGAATTAAATGAACAGATGAGACTTATTAGACGGATCTGATGCAATTATTATCATACCATTATTAAGTATGTATGTATGTAAGTCAGATTATCATTTATTCTAGTGAAATCAGACTCAGATTAATATTCGACAAGCAGTTTAGCTTAAATTATAAACTCTACTACAACAATATCTTCCAGATGATTTCGCTGCAGAAGAGATAGAAGTTTATCATTCCAAAAGCGTTGCATTAAGCTGTCATCATATCATAACTCTTATAACTGATTTTTTCACACACAGACAATAGGTTATTGACACTTCATTTTGATGTTAATGATTTTTAATAGTTGATACCATGAGTCAAATGAAGCTAAATCACCACGGAAAACCTGCAAGCACTGGACGGCCATTTCGTCCTATTGAGGGACTCCTCAAAAGTGCGTATCCACGATCCCGCCTCGCGAGCTTCGAACCCGGGACCTATCAGTCTCACGCGCGAGCGCTTAACCACTAGACCAATGAGCCGGTTGGCATCCAATGGACAGTGTTAATGTCTAACTTCAAGTAATCCAAGAAATTGATCGACACATCCACCATTGTCATCAGTGAGTTACTATCTCACAACAAACCCGGTTGAACTCCAATGATCACTGCTTCGCATTGCTGAGTACCACAACAGGAAGAAACGGCCATCCAGGTTTTCCATGGTGGTCTAGCCTCAATTGACTGATGATCTCAACTATTGAAATTACTACAATCTCCACAAAACCCCTTCTGACAATAATTTTTAGTCATTTGTTATTAACACCTTCATATTTTCAATTTATTCTTCATCTTTCTTATACTCTTCAAGTAGGCGATTATCTTCCACATATTTCTTTTTATTTTATTATTTTTATTTTTCTGTCATTACACAGCCAAATTTTGAACCTTGAAATTGTGTAATAGGCATAAGTAGGCAAGCTACATAGACATTTAAAATTCGGACCCAAACATGGTAACTCCTCAATTTAAAATGGCGATTTACTTTTAACAGTAAAATAATCCTGACAATATATTAACTGTGTGAATATAATAAATCGTAAGGGGGTAACATCAATTTAATATAAGTGTAAATGTTATATTATAAAATTTTCGTAACATAGTTTGAGATTTTTAGGTGTATCTATTGAAATTGTCTGCTATTCCAAGTGGAAAGTCGAGTTGCGATGTTTTCGTTGTGTTCTGCAACCAGTTTGATACATATTGCTATCTCCTTATACTTGATTTCCAAGTGCTGTTGCCGGGTTTCCGCAACAGACTGTTTAATTTTCAATCTATTTAAACAATTCCTTTTTCAAAGCACTAATAAATTTCATATACTTGGATTAGAGCTACTACTAATAAGTTGGCTAAAGCCTCTATACCACCACCTCTCGACCACATTATTAGTTTTAAGAAGGTCTTCCAAAACAGAGGGTAAGTTGAACATATTTCACACTATTAAAAATGTTATTATCTCTTTTAATGTTCATCTTTATTAATATGCTCATTTTTTGATGATCGCCCTTATAATTGTGACCGATTCTGAGCCATATCACCTAACGTCTTCAGACGTTGCTTACGGAAACAGCACTGACCCCAATCATGTAGTCTGCATCTACCAAACTCAGTCAATGACTCCACAGAGTGACATCATGTTTCGATCTAGGGGTAACTATCCTTCTAACTAACCTTCTTTAATAAAAAAAGAAAAGAAACTTACGGGAGATTCATGAAATAAATCTACTCGTGCTGCTAACGCCACTTTATTCGCTATCAATCGAGCAGCTTTAAGCCGTAAATCTGGAGGTAATTTTTGCACAATTTCTGAATTAAAAATGTATCCTGTATGTGGTAGAACTGACGTATTACTAAATCCGGACAACAGACGCTTTTGTGCACCCAGCACAAGTATATTACATGATGGCATTTTAGTAAGTGCAGTTAAACCACCAGCATGACCTATTTTTTAACAAAAAAAAAGATGAATAATAGGGAATCAGTGCTGATGACCAAATGAAATATTTTTTATTGATATCAAAAGCTGACCCAAGTTAGAAAACTACTCAGCAGTCGTTTTGTCCCACTATAGGACTCCTTAACAGTGGTCATTCAAGACCACTTCGCAGGGGTCCAAACCCAATATCTGTCTCGCACGCGAACGCTTAACCTCTAGATCATTGGGACGCAATCTAATAGCATTCTAGTGAAAAGTCGACATTAGTGGAGTTTAACCGTGTCGAGTGTGCGTTAGTCACCCAACTAAGGCAATGAAAGATGATCACACAATATTGTGGACTGACTGAAGTGATACATGTAAACCAATGGATCACGGCTTGGTGATCTACAGCTCATCGCGCAACCTGAAGGTCCCGCGTTCGATCTCTGTTCGGGTTGTGGATGTGTATTGCTAGAGTCCAATACAGGAACGAAACAGATGTCTAAAGCTCCAAAGTTTTTAGTAGTTGTTTAAATTAACTCCACTAGTGATCTCTGTAATATTCAACAATCAGCTAATAATTCGGAAAATTTTATTAAAATCATTTAAATATCAACTAAAGTATAATCCTTGATCTTAAATCTTTTTATTCACTTATTAAATGAATTGTTATCTGTCAGTCGGTTATTTTAGCTCAAAAGAACAACTTAATCCAAACATATTTTACACATCACTTGAAATAAATAAAAATCAGAGAAAAACTATACATAAATTACTCTTACCCATTAATTTCGCTGCTGTTGATGCACCTACTAGAATGCTAGTATTTGCAGCGATAAATGACATGCGTGATTCTACATAAGCTAACATTGTAACACGCATTTCTTGTAATTCAATTGCCATAGTACATGCTTCAATAATACGGGATAATTGATCTGATGTTAAAGATGACCCTTGAGTGGTTGATGCAGTGACTGATACAACCATAATTGTCGCTGGAGTTAGAAAAGAAGCAAGTAGATCTGTTTGTTTGGAACGTTCAAGTATATCATTTCCTAAAACCTTTTTTTAAAAAAATTGAAAATTTAAGAAAAAATAAGTAATGATATAGATTACTCACTTGAAACGAAGTAATTCATTAAGCAGTCATTTTAGGCGATTAGAGGTAGTCAGGAAGAAAACTTATATGAACTATGTTTCGTCCTAGTTGGGAGTTATTAGAAAGACGTTCATCTAGATTTGATGAATTTGATAAAAAGACTTCCATCTATTACTCAATTGTGCACAACAAATGACCTGATTATTTACAGATCGTGATTTCTTATTTATACTGAGTTATATTCATGTAATCAGAGTATATGATCGTTTAATTTTTCCAGGCATAATAAATAGAATACAATAGGTAAATCTGCCTGATATCTTCGTGTTCTCATTGGTAAATGGTAATAATAGGAGCTGAGTGAACCAACAGCAGCTCGGATTTTCAGTCTTTATTGGTGGTTATATGTTTTATCGGTAAATGTAAATGTAGTTGATCTGATTGGCGCAAAGCGAGCTCCACATTTTATGGGCGTACAAGAAGGCTAAATGGATAACATACATATGCAAAAATAAATAAACTTACCAGTACAATTTTTAAATAATCCAGAAGACCTGGTACGAGAGATTCAAGTTCAGGGAATCGCATTGAATACAGATCTCTAACATATTTATGAATAATATCTAGTTAAATAAAAAGAAAAATTCCATTTTAAAATAAACCATTAACAGTTTACGAAAATTTATCATCAACTTTAATTGTTACTTAAATGTTGGAAATTGTATCAGTTTTTTAAACATACTTTTCGGCATTCCTGGTTAATACCGTGTTCTTATTATTACTATTTGTAGGTATCATTACCAAGGTTTGATTTGATAATTTCGAATAAATTGAGCATTGGGTTGATTGTTATAAATAAATAATGAGTAGAAAAACTAGATTTTCTGACGTTTCGTGACTTAGTGTAAGTCACTTCTTATTGTTCCGTTGTATTATTTAAACTTGGATTAATTTTAACTTGGTTATTTATTCTCTGAAGAAGTGACTTACGCTAAGTCACGAAACATCAGAAAATCTAATTTTCTATTCATTGGGATATTACAAATATATTATTTTTGTTTATATTATTACTATTGTTTCATTTAATGTATCCACACCAATTGAACTGATTCCCAGTTATGTTACCCAATGCCTCCAACCACTGGTGATGGCAATCCTAAAGATCCTAAACATGTAATCCATATCTACCAACATGGCTTAGATTGACATTCGAAAACTTCGCGGACTGATGCCAAATCTTCGCTTGGCCGTCTCTATCCCTATTAAAAACTACCAACATGTCAGCCAATAACGTGAGTCGAGGAGGGGAGTTGTTAGGTATACATAACACCTAATCACCTCAATTATAATCAAGTAACCTTAAATCACAATTTCAGCGTCTTACTAGTGCAGATACTCTAATAATGAAGAGTAACCTAACAATCTCAATATAAACCAATAATGTAACTCAGTGTGTGCAGATTTACGGACTAATTGTTAGACGGATGAAACAGTAGTTTAATTTTTCTTGAGGTGGAACTCATACCCGTGATTTAATGGTTTAAATTTCAACTAATAAATGTTTAACCACAGCGCCAGCTCGATCAATACATTACTATAAGCGTTTGTGACATGGCGAATACATAAGGCTTGTAGCCCAGCAGATCCGTCTATGGATAGTGTCATTTCTCCTTTTCAATAAGCAAAAACGTCTTACAGAAGACACCTACTAATTTCATTGTCAATTTCCACCATAAGATTATTAGCTTCGACAATACATTGATATTCTGGATCAGCTTCGACAGGACCATGAATTCGATCACGTTTCTTTTGTTTTGCAAAACGATCAAGATCCGCCATTACATTGGTCAACTGAAAATAAAATATCATGAAGAAAATGGAGATTCGGAGATAGAAGTAATTTAAGCAAAGATTAGAGAGTGATTAAAGTAATATAAATAGATTCAGTTATTCACCTAGTGAGTAAATTCTTTTTAAAAAAAATAATTTAAAAAAATATAATGCATTTAAACAACGCCATTCACCTTCGCTCATTACCTTTGTTTAACACAGGTAACTGTTACTTCTCATTGACTTGGATACATTATATTTACAGATAGAAGTGGATGGATAAAATTCAGACGGTGATTTTACGCAATCTATCTAATAAAAATGTGAAATCAGATTGTAAAAACCTCATTTTACAAAATATGGAGTTTGTCAATCTTATTCCCCTTTAAGATGCTTCCCATTTGTAACAATATACATCCCCCTATTTAGATTCCTATTGTTCAAAATACTTTTAGGAGTCGGGGTCTTAAAATGTTTTCTCTACTCATCCTTTGCTAAAACCATGTTCACGAAACATTTCCAAATACTATTAATCAAGAATTATCTTTACAGTGAATTGGGTACATGAAAAGACAAGAGAGAACATACTTTCGGTGTATTGATAAACACAGGGGTTGAGAGTCATTCTAGTTTTGCAATATACCTACTGTCTTCGTGTACTTCAGTGAAACATTTGATCTGTTTGAAAAGAGAGGTTTCCCTCAATCCGCAATCTTCAAACACACTCTCGAATACCTCATTAATTTTCTGACATTTTAGTTATTTCCATGACTTAAAACCCAAAGAGTTCATTCCGCATATTTATTTAACAGGTGTTAAATGAAATTCAGTTATTGAACGACGGATATTCATCGGACAGTACTATGAGTAGGGGGGAGCCCCCAAGGTCTAATTTTACAATAACTCACATCAGCAGACCTTATAACTTGATATTGTATTTCCGTAAAGCTTCTATTATACCCGAATTTCCCCCTGGACAATTCAATGTTCAGATTATACACACTATTCAGAAACTATATACTAGTTTGGCAACCAAACTAAACTACACCTTCGAGCAATACTGGATTAAATAAGTTGTGAGAATTGAAGTAGGCCCTAATAATTGAAAATTCAGTACCTGAACTATAGACACAGAAACAATTTAAAATGAATACCATATTATTCTCCTATATTTTTTCAGCTATTTTATTACTGGGATAACAAGTTATGAAACTAAGATAGAATTTCTATCCATGATCAGAAAAAATTACAATATGCCGAACAAAACGATAATTTACTTTTCTTTCATAGCAAGTACTTACTCTATCACTGTTTCTTAACTTGGCATAAGCCGTTATCGGAGCATCAGCGAAAGAAGAAGCGGTTTTAAATATATTTTTAAATCCTGAAGCTGATCCATTGGACTGAAAATCGTCTGATTTGGTTACACTTAACATAGTAACATCCTCTAGTTCGTGTAAATTTGAGTCAGTTATTAATTCTTCAGATGTTTCAGCTCCTTCAAGATCAGCCAAAAGTTCGTCAGCTAATGACATATTTTAAACAATTGATAAAACAAGAGATTGTGACGTAACCTGGAATTAAGTAAGACAGTAGTAAGAGTTAATGAAAACAAATCATATATAAGATTGAAATCAAATTCAATAAAACCGCAATTATTACTATAAATAATGAAAATAAGTTACAATGTAAGCAGCTTTTACCACGTTAAGTAATGGCTTGAAGGTAAAATACATGTGGATTACTAGTGTATGATGAGACATATCCTTTAAGTTGCTGCAGTATGGTGAAATCATAGAACTGAGTGCTGAAATGTGGCGTAACTATTAAGCTCGTACGATAAATCGGTTAGTCAAACAAATGCCCTGGTATAGCCGAGAGTGAGGTGGGCCCGCCCTCCCTCTCGGAATGCTCTCACATGGTCACGCGTATACAGCCTTTGTCAGGGAAGTCCTACTCACTGCCTTCTCGTGGCACTACTGTTGTTTACGAAAATGAGAGGACGGAAAGCGAACGTCCGGCGCTTTAACCGGATCCCAAACCAATGGTGCACATGGGCTCCAGTATCCTGAGGGAACAAATGGGATATGAACCAATTTTTGGTCACCGGCTACCATGGGACTGCATCTCCTGACGATGCTCCACTGCCTTGTGGGTTAGACCTTTGGGTCAAAGGCTTGGAGTGTGGCATCCTAAGAAAACCACCTGCTTGTCTGGGCACCCGGGCAGTATCACAGCCCTCATACAAGTGTGGCGCATATATATCTGGTGCCCTCTTGTACCAATATTTATGTATTCAAATAAATAAATAAATAAACTAGTCAAACAAATGAAATTAATCGACCAAGTTAGCTAAAACATGCATTTCATATAACTAGTCACTGCCTATCTTGATGTACGATGCTGGCTAAAAAACAGTTGAAGAGGTTAAGTACAAACAGAAAAGGGTTGAACTGGTTTGTAACATTACCGGCTGTCATTTTAAGTCATGTTGAGAAGTGTAAACTTCCCAGTTGATGGATAACTATTGGGCACATAAACATACGGCGCAGAGCACCTAGTTAACAACATCTATTCACCAAAGCATATTACTGATGAAGACAAGACCGGACTAAGTGCTGAGATAGGCAAAAACGGTAGATCGCTCTTTAACCAATTTAGTTGGATATGGTAAATCGAAGGATGAAAACACCATGTCACTGAATGAAAGCAAACACAAACGGTGAATTTCCGCTTTTCATCTTTTGCAGAGAAGTAATCAAATGACAGTCAGATTACTTGTATGATTCTGTCCACCTGGATGTCGCAGAAGTGCAAGCTAGGTACAGTCGAATAGAATATCCCAAATTTTCTTCCGTCGACCTTTGTTTTATAGATGCTAGCATTAGCTCCGTAATATCGCCGCAATTCCTGTCTGATTTTATGACAAATTTGCAACGAACATTTCGTAAAATCACATGCATAACTATCGACTGCTGTTCCGTTTCACGACTCAAGTGACGAAAACGCTGCTCCATATTGACAATGCTGTAGTTGCAGTAATTTCCTACAGTATTATCCGATTTTGTTAAGTGAATGTCGTTTAAACCTCGCATTACCTATTTCCTTGCCTTGGTTTATGGTTGAAGATAACTTTCCTGTCACTTTAAACGCTAATTTCCAACTTTTCAGCCGATTTAGATATTGTTGACAATTGCTTATGTAAAAATTGTTCATAAGTTGTTCTGATATAAATCACTATTTTGATTCATGTCGAGCGCGCAGATAATTTGGCTGCCCTGGGGAATTTAGGGCGAGCTTCCCAAGAATTAAAGCAGCAACTACTCCATCGCATTTTACAAAAAGCCGATTATTTTAAACGTTAATATTGTGGAAATTTAGTGTTACTAAGAGAAATAGTAAACAAATCGGTGTTCATTTTGGGGAGCAGGAAAGTCAGTGTTAGTTTTGTAGAAAAGTACACAAATCTATGTCTCTTTGCAAAAGGGTGGACACCTTAAGACGGTAAGAATGTTTATTTCGAAACGCTTCTGCTTAAGGGAAAAACTTTGGGGAAAAGGTGCACTATTTGCACGGGCCGGTAGGAAGAGGTGGCGATTTGGTTCATCGTTGCCTACATACTTACCATGAACTTTCTCGAGTATATTCCTACAATTTCCCTTAAGTCCACCCTTATTTTCCTCCTTTATTTATTTGGGATATGCAGGACTATAGTCCTGCAACTATAGTCTTCATCTAGGACTTGATGTGGTAGCATTTAGAAGGAAATAAAGAGTATAGAAAAATTCAGTCCAAAAATTTTAAAACTCTGTGTACGAATACCTCTTGGGATGGGATTTAAATCGCTTTTAGCGGATCGAAATATAATACGAAGTACAACCACAATAGCAAGCAACTTACAGGATGTAACGCGACACTGGAATCTTCCTCTAAGTCATAAGTCAGCTTCAACTTTCAACTTTGCTTGGTAGAATTAGTGAACTTTTGTTCTATGGGATCTGGTAAAGCACCTTGTGTCTAACCAGAATGTACTTCGTGTTTTATGGGAGGATACAGACTAACATGAGTGATAACGGTTGGAAAAGAGAGTTTGCTCACAAGCGCCCACGATGCACTTACAGTTAATAATCAAAGCAATCAACTGACAATTCACATGGTATTCCGGATGGTTCTAGACTTAATAGAATAATCCTTCGCGTAGATGGCTTCCGTATCTAGTAGCCGTGGATCACATTATGGAACTATAAACTGAAGGGCGTGATAGTTTAGTTATCCTTTTGTGTGAGCTCCTTCTTGTCCTACAGCAAATAAAAGTGTGTTTAGTGCTGAGATATACTAGTGATATATCCTTCCTTTGGTAGACAGAATGGTTCTAGAATGATAAGCTATCAGATTTTTAACCGATCCCAAATACTCTAAGCGTAAACCGCTGGCTTGTCATGTTTTGTGATCCACAGAACATTATCAAGGGGATGAGCTGAGAGGACAGAAAATTCTCCAAACGCAAGTAGCATAAAAATATCTAATATCGATATTTGGAGTGCTGGTTTTACATGACAAGCCACTAGCTGAAGGTACTCATACTAGATCAATTTTAAAAAGCTACCTCGTGTTATTTGAATATGCAGTGATATTCTCCTCGCAGAGCAAATTAGGTGTTTCTGATAGATTATTTGTAGAAATTATTGACACAAAACTTCAACCAAATTAATTTTTGTTAGACTTTTCCTTGTATCACTTGTCAGGACTGGAGTTGATTTGGCAACGGAGATGCCACAGGTATTCGGAGTTTGACAACGCTTTAACCAGTAACACCTTCTAATATGAATCTTACCCACCAAGTGAAATCAAGAGACAGAAGCGAGGAGGTTCGAAAATATTTTTGATAGGTTATCAATATATCGAGGATTGACTGATCTAATCTGGCTAGCGATTGCAGGGAATGTTGAGCACGGGGTTACCACTCGTGATCTGGTTCGGATGCATGACAGAGCGCTTTCAGCTAGGTGATTCGATTAAAACTAGTGTGGTCAGCATCCACAGTTGAAGACTTATAGAGCTGTTAACTTTGGGGATTTAGTTACCGCTACAGATTACTCCCCCCTTAGTGGGGTAGTGATGACCCTAAGACGTGGTCAGCCAGTAGTTTGAACCCAACGAGGTTGTCGTTAGTAAACACTCTTCTGATAGCTTGCTAGGTTTAACAGCGTCTGGTCATCCTTGCTTACTATAAGGGAAAAATCAAATATACACATATTAGCAAAAAGAATTTTGTTTGTTTCTTTTGGGATAAATATATAAGTATAAGCATATTAAATTCTTTTTATTAGATGTAATACAATGAGAAATCTATATGAAGCAAACTGTTAACTGGTGTCTTACGTGCAATAATCTTCTAAATGTTCTGGATCCCTTACTCTTCTTCCAGAACGCGTTGTTACGAGTCTATTTTCAGATACTGCCGAAGTATCAACGTGCATGTTGGCTGTCGGATTAGTTGTTATAAGCGTAGGAGCCGTGTCCTTTGATTGTACCGATTGGAACTCGATGTGGATAGGAGTTCCTTCTTAATACTCTGCTTTGATGCGGTTGACGCTTATGCCATCGTTGGTTCCGTTCTTATTGACTATGTATTACTTAGGTTAGCGTTGAAGAACTTTGAAGAGTCCTTCGTATGCTGTTTCGACAGGTCGTCGATGTGAGTCTTGATGTGCGAAGACTTGTGTACTATATCATAAGTCAGGTTGAACGAAAACACCAATTGATTGCAGTCGAGTTGAAACTGGTATAAAAACTGAACGCATTGCGTTTATAAGCCTGCTTGTGTAGGAGGTTAGATCCATGTTCATTAAAGAAGATGTAGGATCCACGAATTCTCCTGGAAGTCGAAGTGTCGTTCCATAAACTAGTTGAGTTTCGGTGTATCCAATATCAGCTTTCACTGCGTTGGGAATACCTAGTCTGACGAGTGGAAGAGTGAAGAAAAGATGAAGAAAATGCCCCACATACACAAGAAGTTGTATTCATGCTGTCCAAACAAGCTTTAAAAACACTTAAGGTTTTTGGAATGTCGTCAGTGGCCATTAAAATTTGGTTATGAGCTTTAATCAAGTCGATCTTCAAAAAGACAGTTGTACCTTTCAAGGCAGCTTTTAAGTCGTGAATGTAAGGCAACGGGTTATGATCGGGAATGGTCTTTGCATTCAATCGCCGGTAGTCACCAGCTGGACGCCAATCGTTGCTGTTCTTTATACAGCTGTTTTGCGGTCGAATGATTTCTAACTCTATCGTGTGATCGAACTCGTTTCTGGATAACCTCTGCTTTCGGGGATCAGTCGGCGCGTTTTAGAGAATACGGGAGGTTTCGTAGTCGTGATATGATGTACAACATTGCTGGTTACACACGGTAATTTAGGTTGAGGTTGGTATATTCCAGAGTACTTCTCGATAAATGGTTGATAGAATGGTTCTATTGTGTGTCTAACTGTGACGGGAGATAATCAGCAACCGGTAGGAGAAGTTACGCAAACAGATAAATTAGTGTTTCCGTCTACTAGAGTGCGTTTGCGAGTATCGATGAGTAGATTGTGGTGCTTTAGCAGGTCTATACCAATGATTGACATAAAAATATCTGCAACGACAAAAATCCAATGACTGGGTCTACGTAAACCCACTCACTTTAAGGTAAACGTACCTTTTGCCATACGTAGCGAGAGGCTTTCCGTTTGCTGCCTGTAATTTTAAAACCGATTCGTGAAGCCGGTCGTTAGAATTCGTTAAATGAACGCTAACTTCTGCGAAGAAGCGAACTTTCATTATCACATCTGTGACGTGTAACAGACGGCTATGTTCGCCGTCTACAGTTGCCGTTAACGCGTGCCGGCTCGGAAGCTTCCCGAGTCGTTTTTCGTGTCGGTCAGTTTTGAATTGGGAGAATTGCAGGGTTTTCTGCATTTTCTGGAAGACTTTCCATACTGGTTATGATGCCAGCACTAGTTGGGATTATCCGTCTCTAGTTGTCTAGAGACAGACCACCTATGTCAGGTGCTTCCCCGCGGGGTATGTGACCGTTTACGGTGGTTACGAAATCTGAGATAACATGTAAACGCATTACTTAGTTCTGGGTCGCTTGAGGTTTTTATTTGACTGAAAAATCCTCGGCATTAGAAGATTTAGTGATCTGTAGGATGCGGTCAGTAGATGCAACCAGGACGTCTACGGAGTTGTTTTGAAACCAGACCAGCTCAGCTTGCACCTGTTGAGGAAGCTTGGATAAGAAAAGTTGTTTGAATAAGCCATGACCGCGGGCTTTATGGCCGATAACCTCTCTCATTCTTCGCAACATGTTTGTGGTAGAAACGTATTGCAGTTCGATGTTATTAACGAGTTGGTCTAACCTTTGACTATCGGTTAGGTCTCTGTGTTTAAGGGTAGAACGTTTCAGTGTGTCGTAATGTTCAGAAACATCACTAGTAAACATACTAGGTGTTACGTACCTGATGAATTCGCGCGGTAGTGACTTGACTACTGTGAAGAAGCGTGCACGTGTGTCGTTCACGCCAAGCTCGTAGAAGTCGGCCTCTGCATAAAAGAGTCAGGCTTTGATGTTGTCTGGCCAGAAGGGCATTAGTTGGAACGGAGGTGGTGACATAGTTTCTAATTTAAGTTCCTTGGGTGTCTGTTCCGTCATGGTGAAACATCAAATACGAAAATGGAGGAGTGAAAAATATATATAAATATCCAAAACCACGGAAAAAATATCACAATTCGCAATTTGGTGTACCAGATCTCGTCGGGCTCACCAATGAAGATGCTACAGGTATTCGGAGTTTGACAACGCTTTAACCAGTAACACCTTCTAATATAAATCTTACCCACCAAGTGAAATCAAGAGACAGAAGCGAGGAGGTTCGAAAATATTTTTGATAGGTTATCAATATATCGAGGATTGACTGATCTAATCTGGCTAGCGATTGCAGGGAATGTTGAGCACGGGGTTACCACTCGTGATCTGGTTCGGATGCATGACAGAGCGCTTTCAGCTAGGTGATTCGATTAAAACTAGTGTGGTCAGCATCCACAGTTGAAGACTTATAGAGCTGTTAACTTTGGGGATTTAGTTACCGCTACAGATTACTCCCCCCTTAGTGGGGTAGTGATGACCCTAAGACGTGGTCAGCCAGTAGTTTGAACCCAACGAGGTTGTCGTTAGTAAACACTCTTCTGATAGCTTGCTAGGTTTAACAGCGTCTGGTCATCCTTGCTTACTATAAGGGAAAAATCAAATATACACATATTAGCAAAAAGAATTTTGTTTGTTTCTTTTGGGATAAATATATAAGTATAAGCATATTAAATTCTTTTTATTAGATGTAATACAATGAGAAATCTATATGAAGCAAACTGTTAACTGGTGTCTTACGTGCAATAATCTTCTAAATGTTCTGGATCCCTTACTCTTCTTCCAGAACGCGTTGTTACGAGTCTATTTTCAGATACTGCCGAAGTATCAACGTGCATGTTGGCTGTCGGATTAGTTGTTATAAGCGTAGGAGCCGTGTCCTTTGATTGTACCGATGGGAACTCGATGTGGATAGGAGTTCCTTCTTAATACTCTGCTTTGATGCGGTTGACGCTTATGCCATCGTTGGTTCCGTTCTTATTGACTATGTATTACTTAGGTTAGCGTTGAAGAACTTTGAAGAGTCCTTCGTATGCTGTTTCGACAGGTCGTCGATGTGAGTCTTGATGTGCGAAGACTTGTGTACTATATCATAAGTCAGGTTGAACGAAAACACCAATTGATTGCAGTCGAGTTGAAACTGGTATAAAAACTGAACGCATTGCGTTTATAAGCCTGCTTGTGTAGGAGGTTAGATCCATGTTCATTAAAGAAGATGTAGGATCCACGAATTCTCCTGGAAGTCGAA